GGGCTGTTCAAGGAAGAGAACCTTATAATTCCTCTTCAACCAGGCCTTGGGCTGATTCTATGGCCTTTTAAATGTGTCTGTGGGAGAGGGGGTTATTGTTTTATTTTTGTTTTAACTATTTATTTTGTGCTTCTATCCTGTATTTTAATCTTGTGAACTGCCCTGAGATCTTTGGATAAAAGGCAGTATAATAATAATAATAATAATAATAATAATAATCGGCATTTTAATATGAGGGTCCTCCACCTCTGTGTATGTTGATCTGGGAATCGTGAGCTTAAAATATAGGAACAAGTGGGTAGAAAAGGGAGTAGTAATTGAAAGAATTAGGTCTCAGGGCCTATCACATCAGGGCGTGTTGAATTTTTCAGCTTTCAAATTCCAAAAATAAGGGCTACTGAAAAGTTGGAAACATGACTTGGAAATTAAAAAGATATTTTGGTTAAATTAATATAGTTTTGTTTAGTAATGAAAATGTATGTAAAATTGCATAGAAATTTTTAAAAACAATTGCCAAGTACTTGCATTTATTTGTTTGTTTGTTTGCTTATTAATGATTAAGCATTGCCTGACATTTTCAGAAGAAGAAGAAAAGTAAAATTAAAAATTATTTGGCTTTCTGAAAACAGTGTATGTGCATCTTCATTAAGCGTAGACATTTCAAGGCAAATGCTGTCCAAGCACAAAAATTATAGCAGATTCCTCACACCCAGAAACATATTTTTAAAGCCCTTCACTGAAGCAATTTGCCCTAATCCACACCCCCTTGTCCCACTGCTTTGTCCTGAGGAAAACTGCTCTTTTGTTGTTTCTTTGGATTGCTGTTTGTCCTGATTTAATGCTAAAGGGTGGCTTTCCCTGGGAAAGGAGTGGGAGAGGGGGAAACCACTGGGCCCCCTCCTTTCCAGGCACGGCAGAAGCAGAAGTGTGGACGAGCCCTCAGACATGTTGTGAAATATCATGTGGCACAGCCCTTCCTGGGAATACACTGCTTTAAATGTAAGTGAATATTTCGGTGCTGCCTCAGATCTAAAAGAACCCAAACCCCTCTGCATATAGAAAGTTGCCAAGTAAAGAAGAAGGGTTCTAAGCTTCTCCTTGACAGGTTAGTTTTCTACAGGCAGGCAGTTTTTGAGATGGGTCGGAATTCAAAGGTGCAGCGCGTCATCTGCAAGTGGTAATTCTGAGTCTTCAGGGCAATTTTTGTGCCTTCTCCCCAGCTGAGTAACTAGGATCTGCCCTCTCTTCTCCAGGGGAAACTGACTGCGCAGGGGAAGCTGCTGCAGCAGAACACCTTCTGGGTGACGGAGCAGGCAGGCGGGATCCTGGCCCGGGGCCGTGAGCGGCGCATCTTTCTCTTTGAGCAGATTGTCATCCTGAGTGAGACCCTGGAGCGGCGGCGTGGTCCGTATGCCGCTCCAACTTATGCCTTCAAGAGCAGCATCAAGGTATTACGGGGCTAACAGCAGAGAACCTGTATTCCCGTACCTATCGCTGTTTACCCCATGTTTCTGCAGTTGCACCGTGCATCTGCAGAATGCAATTGTGAGCACTGAATTTGGCATCCTGAGAGTCTATGCATGTGTATAATTTTATACGGCTAGAAATTGCGAGTGAAATTCAACGTGGTGTGCTATTGCAAACGTTCCGTCTGTGTAAGCGTTTCAGCTTGTGAGACAGAACAACCCCCTTTTCTACCCCAGTGCACTGCTCTGGGTGTTCTTCTGACTCCCCTCCTCAGAGCCAATTTAGGGGTGCATGCAAGAGGAGGGAGGAGGCCCATTGCAAAAGCCCTTGCACAGGGCTTCCACTGATGGGCTCATTAGGTGAATCCTGCCTTATAAAATGTATAGCCTTATGGCTGTGAAGATAGGGTTGAAAGTGTGTGGGCATTGCTTGGCGTAATCTCGGGAGCAGAGAGCAGGGGTAGTGCAAAGCAAGGAAATAAGGAAATTAGCTGGCTTTGCATTCTTTGTTCAGGTTTCGGAATGTAGCTTTTCTTGGCACAAGAATATAGGCTGGCTTGGTGTGCAGAACGCTGATCTTTGTTTAAAGCACAGAGATTACACAGCCTTGGTTATATCCAGAGAACCACAGAATTTCTAGGACTTCATGCATGTGCAGGTGTACCCAAATCTGTTTTCTAAATAAATAAATAAATAAATAAATACAGGCTCTTCCTTTTGCTTGACTCCCTGTTTGTCCATTTTATTGTTAATATCTTCTTCTTTTTCTTGCTTTTGAATGGTCATTTCCTATCCACTATCCGTCTCAATGCCAGGTCAGCTGTTTGGGCCTGGAGCCCTGTGTGGATAATGATCCCTGCAAATTTGCACTGATCTCGCGTGGCGCAGAACGGGGCACCATCCGTTACGTACTGCAGGCAGCAACGTCAGAGATTGCCCAGGCCTGGGTGGCTGACATCAGCCTCATCTTGGAGACACAACGTGACTTCCTCAATGGTAGGGGGTTCAAAGAGATGGTCTGTTCCTAACTCTCTCAGGCACCCACTGCCCTTTAAACCACACCCAGCCTTCTTCAAGGAGTGATTCCTCAATATTTCTTCCTTCATTTTCCTCACTCCTGGTCTGGATGGAATATGAAAGCTAAGATGTTTCCACAATGCTTTGCAGAAGTATAGGAAACTTCAGCTGGCTTCTAGATGGTGGCGCGGGGGCAGAGAATAGACAATTTTCAAAGAGTAATTTGAATTAGAGGCTACTGCCGTTCAGTGAGTTTAAATACAGTTTGGCTCTTTCTGAGTGAAAGAAATGACCTAGCAATAGGTTTGTTTAAGTTTGTTTTAAGTTATTTCTAATTCAACTTCTATCAGAATTGATCCCAAGTACAAAAAAAGAATATTTAAAGTGATAAACACTCCAATTCCATGCCACCATAGCATATCAGCAGGAATAAAACCATAATAAGGGCCCTGATCTTTATTGAGCATTCATCCTGATTTGCTTACACAAAGCTTATGCGGAGGTTAGGTTACATATAGCTTTTATTGAGTATTCATTCTGATTATTTGTGTGTGGGGGGGGGTGTTAAATGTCAAGGACCATTCATTTGCTACGGCGATGGAGCACTTTAATCCACTTTAAATGGTGCAAACTTACAGTTCTGGTATGCAATTGAATCACTCCTACAAAATCAGTAGGAATGTTCATTAAATAGGTCATCTGGAGGTACAATTCATTCTATCTCTGTCTGTCTCTTTCTATATACCAGCCCCGACCCCCAGCTCTAATATTACATTACCATCTTCTCACGTATGTGCAAGTCAGGCCTTAATTGTGCAATCAAGTGATGTACATGCATGTCTCAACTAGCCATACATTTTTACTTCAAGCACAAGCTGTACTTTGGCCTTTGTGAATCGAGCCAACGCACAACTTTGGAAGGATGGGGTGAGTCCCAAAGTAGATGGCAGAGCTGAAGTGGACTGTACGACTTCAGACTCCCAGTAGGCAGGAGGTCACATTTTTTAATCCTTTCTCAAATAAAAAGCTGAGAGATTTGTATTCTAAATCTTTCTCTCTGATTTGCTGTGTTGCGAAAAGGTAGTGTCTCTCTCACACACACACACAATCAAAAATAGGATTCCCACCCTTCAGTTTGAATTCAGATAGTAAAGATTTCTACCCTGCCATTTTGCATAATGTGTAGATCGGTTCTGAATGACTCTTAACTTAAATGCATGGACCATGTCTAGGAAACCTTTATTCCACCAAGGGCCATGTTCTCTTAGGGGAAATCTGTTGGAGACCACATGCCAGTGTGGGCAGGGGCAGAGTTGCCCCCTCTCTTTCTTAAGATATTCACTGCCCCATAATCTCTCAAAAGAGAGAAATAAGTGTGTGGGGTAGTGATGATATTAAGAAATGGGAGTTGGGGGAGGGTGTTTGTGCATGGGATGGTGTTGCTCTTAAGAGCTGCAGTGCACCCTGGTGTGGCCTGTGGCCCCTCATCTGCTTGCTGGGCTTCCTCCTGTCCCTGTCATGCAGTTTCCAGGAGCTGCTGTCTTCTGGCACCTCAGGCACATTGAAGTGGTGGCTCCTGATGCAGGCACCCCTCTCCTGCTTGATGAGAGTGCTTGAGACACCTTTTGACAGTGGCTTTTGAGAGAAGCAATGGAAGCTGCTTGAAGCGCACCTACGCAGGTGGGGCTGTGGGACTTCACCCAGTGGTTCCTGCATCACACCCCTGAGGAGTCTTTTTTTCCCTTTCTTGCAGAAGATTATGTTTCACTAATGGAATTCAGAGCGTTTTGTGTTTCCAGTGCGTGACCCTTTCATTGCCCCTTTCTGTTTTCTTGCCAGCACTGCAGTCGCCCATAGAGTACCAGCGCCGAGAGAGCAAAACCCATAGCCTAGGACGCATTGGAGTCCCGCATCACTCACTGCCCGGTGGACCCAGCCGGCCCTGCTCCTCAGTCTCCATGGACCAGAGCAAGGGATCCAGCCTCCAGCCCCACAATGCCTCTCTCCCCTCCCTCTACCTTCCGGGCCCAGGCCAGCCTGAGCAACAGGCCTATGTTGAGGTAAGGTAGGAAGGTCTTAAACGGAAGATCCCTGTTGAATTAACAGCTTTGTGAGGCTTGGCTGGCACAGGTGAAGTTCCTGTTCTAGCTTTGGAATGAAAGGGGCTAGTAATTGGCAAGAGGAATTTGAAATTCAGTTCAGTGCTTACATTTGTTAAACCTCATTAACACATGTATAGTTTGCAAGAGTTACGTGAAGCAGAAAATGAAAACAATCATTTGTCATTAAAACAATCCACCGTGTGTGCTGGCTTGAGATTGCATTGTACACATGCTGTCACAGAGACAAAGGAAGGTTATCTTTCTCACACAATTCATATCAGTATTGTCTAACAAAATTTCATTTTTAAAAAATGCCCAAGGGGAGAAGTTCCAAAAATGTAGGCATTTAACCTCATCAGAACACAATAAGAGCCTGCAGGATCAGGCCAGTAGCCCACCTAGACCAACATCCTAAGGGCCAGTCAGAGGGCTGTGGGAAGCCTACGGGCAGAACTTGAGCACACCAACCACTCCTCCCTTCTTGCCGTTTCCACCAACTAGTATTCAAAAGCATTACTGCATCTGAGAACCTCCTTGTTAACAGCTGCTCAACAAAAAAATGAGAAATTGGAGCTCAATGTTCAGTTAGTATTTTAGTCTCATTTGTAAGCCCTCCCGCAAATATTTATATCAAGGGGCAGTGTAGATAGCTTTAAGAATAAGAAGTAAAGAAGTAAATAGATGAGACATGTTTTCCTGTTTGGGACAAAATCTTGGGGTCTATAAAGCTAGAAGATATTGACCTCGTCCCATGCAGATAGATTTTCTCCTTGTACCCTTCATTGTTTAATCCAGAGTGGTAACTGCTAATGGATTGGAATCATCCGCTTCCTGCAGAAGCATGTGTTGATCAATTCCAACTGTAAAAATATAATTGTGAGTGTGCTTAAGGGATGTCAGGGAGTGTGTGGTCTCTGTTAAGTGAGCTTATGCGTGTGTCACAGTTCCCCAAAGTGGAGACCAGGCTAGTGGCCCTTCCGCTGCCACCAGGCAGAAGTCTTTATTTTTCTGGTTGCCTCCACCAAACAATCTAAGCTCACCTGGATTTCAAAAAGAACACACTTAGGTAGTGTGTGGCTTGGCTTTTAAGCATAGGGTGGGCAAGAGACCACAAGGCTTTGTGAAAGAGGTTTAAATGTTCACTAAAAAAGAAGGTTTTAACATCTGAATGGTTATGTACACACAAAACAATCACCAAAGCAACCTGAGTCTGGACACCATCTGTTGCCAAGAGTAATGGGGTGGGAGGGAATTGGGTCTAGGGCCTCTGTTCTTAAACTTCAAACTGGGCAGCAGGTATTCAGGAAAAGAGGGACAGAGGAGGGGACTGTTGAGTTCCCCTTGGGTGACTAACTGGAGAGCAGCCAGGGAGACTGCTAACTCTTTCCCAGACTGCCTGGGTGAGATGACGTCTTCATCATCTCACCTGCCAGACCCTCCAGATGGACAGGTGTGCTGCTAACCATTCCTCCCAGCATCATGGTCTCAGCCAGGCTGATTCTGTGGCTTGCTCTGTTGCCGAGGTGATGGGTGAGAGAGGTAGAACTGGAGCCAGGCAAGAGAGAAGACATGTCTGCTGCTGATAAACAAAGCCTTTAATATCCAGTCCATAGATACTTGCATGCGTGCATGTGAGGATATTAACACACTCCTTCAAACATGTTGCAGGGAAGGGGAGGGTAGAGGAAATTCAGAGTAGACATAAGCAAGCTTCACCCATTCTGAAACCATCCAAATATTGTTTGTGTTCATTACCCACTGCCAATATCATAATCATTTTTCTTCTTGTTACATTGACTGCCTCTCCTTCAATTTCCCTCTGTTTTAATTTTTCATGATAACTGTTGGAGTCTTCTATCTGATAAATAATCGTTCAGTCGTTATTGGTTTTTTCCTTGGTTATATTGTATTATTTCTGATGAGGATTATCTGTTGTTGTGATTTTAAAAAATGTTAATCACTAAAACCTATGGTAAGTGTGGAGGAAAGACCAGGAGCCCAAAGTAGTGAGCACTGTTCTGTGAAGACAGTGGTGAAGACAAGAGTGCTGATTTCTGTTCTCAGATATGAGTTGGAGGAGGAGGTAGGAAAGAGTGCTATGCTGTCTTAGTAGGCTTCAGGACTCTACAGGTTTCTGATTCCAGATTAGATGAAAAGGAGATCAAACTGATCTCTAATAGAGGCACAGAGAGCGACACACAAGAGATTTGCAAGAGGATGTCTGCCTATTTTCTTCTTTGGGAAATTAGATAACTTCATTTGATGAATTGGATTGCCAGAATCCCTTCCAGGTCAGGGGTCCTGTGAAACTATGACGTTTGCATGGCGTGCTTTCCATGTGAGATGTTGTTTGACTTCAGCTATGCACAAGTTGACAGTTGACAAGCTATGCACACTTTCTCACATAATATGACACCAAATTGAGAGCACCCCTCTGTGCTGGAATGTTGTCTTCTCCCCACCCAGATTAAACCCACTTTGCTTTCTGCCCCCAGCCATCTCGCAGCCAAAGCTCTCCAGGGCCTGGACCAGTTCACCTACCTTCCGATGGCTCCGAGGTGCATCTCTCCAATTCCTCCCGGCAGGAGTCCCTGCACACAGTGAGTTTTGGTAGAGCAGAGGAAGTGTTCCTTTTAATCTGAGTAAGGATTCAACGTTCACAGTTGACATAACGATAATGATTCAGGTTCTCTTGCCCGTGGCCTTACTCATTCTTTCCATCGGGACAGTTACTTAATTTTCATTGGGACTGACGTTTTACACACACACACACACAAAACACACACAAACACGTCCCCACCACCTGACCACATGTTGCCACCGTGCCACAGAAGCCTAGGAAAAAATGCAGAATCTGGCAATGGCTGCAGAATTCAAAGCACTGCTTTCCCAGTGAGAAACCACTGACATTCTTCCAAAGAAATCCCAGTGTTCCCCAAAACACAGTCTGAAATTCATTGCTGTGTTAGTAGAGTACGTCCCCATCTCTTGCGTTGTTTACCATTGCTGATGCATTCATATGCCAGTAATTTTATTTCTGGAAAGCTTTTTGATGCTGTGCTTTCCTTCCCACAAGAGATTTTGAAAGCCTGCCATATACACTTTTCTTCCTTCCATTTACCTGCAATCTGCTCCACTCTCAGGCTGAGAACATGGGCAGACATTGCCTAATGAGCTGTCTTATGCTCTTATCTTTGGTTTTGCTTTAGAACAGAAATGAGGAAACTGTGGCTCTTGAGAAGGATGTTGGACTGCAACTCCCACCGTCTCTTATCATTGGCTTTGCTGGCTGGGGCTGATGGGAATGTAAGAGCATAAGACAGGCATAGGCAAACTCGGCTCTCCAGATGTTTGGGGCTACAATTCCCATCATCCCTGACCACTGGTCCTGTTAGCGAGGGATGATGGGAGTTGTAGTCCCAAAACATCTGGAGGGCAGAGTTTGCCTATGCCTGCCATAAGATGAGCCCTGCTTGATCATACCCAAGGGTCCTTCTAGCCCAGCATCCTGTACTCACAGCCAATCAGGAACCTATGGGAAATGCATAAGCTGATCTAAGCGCAACAGCATGTTCTCCCCACTTGTGCTTCCGAGATACCAGGTACTGGTATTCCAAGGTGTACAATCTTCAATACTGAAGCTGTCATGACTAGTAGCCATTAAGACCCTTACTGCCCATGATGGAGGTGGAGTCCAACACATCTGAAGGACCACAGGTTCCTCATCCCTGATTGAGAGTAAGTATATATGGGCACATTTGTTATACACAACTGATCTAGCCATAGCTGTTAGCTAAAAGGAACTTCTGTGTATGTAGGACATTGCTTCTCAAAGGCTGTGGCACAAGGAGAGGATGGCAAGTATGACAGGAAGATTCAAGGAGAATAAAAGAAACATTTCATTATAGCATAGTATCAAAAAAAAAATATTTTGCAATATGTGGATAGATGTAATTCCAAAATGAGAGCAAGAGCATAAAGTGATACTGAGAACAATCATAGTTGTGATTTAGAATCGCTGTTCCAATGTATTTCTTATCAATAAAAAAAATGGTGTGGTGCAAGAAAATTTCTATTCTGAAAGTGCAATCCAAAGAAAAAAAGGCTGAAAATCACTGATGTAGGAGATGAATTGAGGATTAAATCTGTAGATTAAAAGTTAAACTTTGTATCCCACATATGTGGGAGACATACAAAAAGTGGGCTGTCAAGCCATTTAACAAAGTAAAACACGTACTGTATACATTTGGAAACATGGTAGAAAGAGAGTCTTCTCAGAGACAGGATGAAGTATAAAAGATTATCTCTGTGGTTACAGAATTCCAGCCAGAAGAGGCAGGGCAAGAAAGCACACAGAGGGTCCTCTCTAGGAAATTTAAGTGCACTCTTTGTGTACTAGCCCTGTCTTGTCTAGCAAAACATGCATTTGTGATTTGGCTGCAAACCCCACACTGTGGACAGAGGGAGAATACCAGAATATCTCTGAACACTAGATCTAAGTGTTGGCAACAACAGGAAAAAGTCACCACCTTCATTCCCTGCCTTGGGTGTTTCAAAGAGGCATCGTGTTGGCTGCTGCTGAGACACAGAATGTTGGATTTGATGCACCTTGGCCTGATCCAGCAAGGCAGTACTTAAGATGATTAATTTGCATAATTTATACAGAATGCAGCTTTTTGCAGCACAGAATTGGATTACCCCATAGTAGATATATTGAACCAAAGTATTACACTGTCTTACCTGTTGATAAGATAAAGCCAATGGGTGTGCAGTGGCAGGTGCTCTGCAGGGGGAGTCTTGCAAAATACGTCTCAGGAACCTTTCCAGAGTTTTCATTGTCCCTCTGTCCCTGACAGGCCCCAAGTGATGACGACGCCAGGCCGCTGCTCCCTGATCCTGAAGTCCCGGAAATCAGTTTCCCTCAAGGCTGTGCTCAACTTGCCCAACTTGATGAGGATGAGCTGTGACTCTTGGACTGTGAGAAAGCCCCTGTCAGACCAGTGGGGTGGGGGCTTTGACTGATCTAACTAGCTCTTCCCTCTTCTCCCCATACCCTCCCTCCTTCTGCTGTCTCCAAGGGAAAGAGAGACACAGCAGCAGCATGGTGCAAACTCTTGCTGCCCTCTGGTCCTGCTCTGTTTGCCCAGACACCCCCATCCTATGAAAGGGGCGCAGAACCCCCACATTGGGACCAGAGAGTGCCGCTGGTGGCCCTTCCCTTTCCTCCAGACCCCTGTATATGCATGCTGTGGGGCTATACGGGCTTCAGGTCGGGGCTCTTGGACAAGGGAGTTGGATTGTGTGAATTGAGAATTTTATTTTGTTTGTTGTAATAATAAAGATTTTAGTTAAAACAAACAAGGAGACAAATTGCTCCAGGACACCTCTGTCTTCATGCAGGCTCTTCCATGAGTAACTTGTGCACTATGTGCTGGATCCCCTTCTCTTGGCCTTGCACTTTATTTAGGGCAAACCTTAATACCTTGTTGGCCCGTTTCACAACATCTTCCTTTACACTGCTTCCCCTCCAAGCACTGAAGATATACACACACAGAGAGAGAGAGTGTATACACATGCATATACATACACATATTTGTAATTAGAAATGAAAAATGGCCCTTAGCCTCTGACACACGGAGAAGGGAACCACCTTTATTAGCAGTTTTAGAATCTTGCCCAAGAGTGTTTTCCCTCACTCTATTTTTTGAAAGAATGGGCTAGCCTAATAAAGTTAGGCCCAGTTCAAAGTTTACTTTTGAACTCACAATAAGTGACAAGATACATATGTGATACTGCCAAGTTGTGAACGTTGCAGGTACATTTTAAATGGCTGGTTGGTTGGTTGGTTGAACACAGAAGCAGACACCCTTTCCCAATCGCTGCTTCATGTTTACTGTGTAATAGTCCAGCTACTTTAAGCTTGTGTTCACAGTTGATGACTTAAATTTTGCCATTTGTACATTTTTGTCCAACTTCTGAAAATACGAATCTGTATTGTGTGGTACATGTGTTTGGCTGCGTGCCAAACACATATATATTATGTATATATATTATTTTATATTAAACCTATCCCAGATAATTCACAAAGTGCAAGAGAAGGAAGCACATTTGAAGGTGAAGGTGAAGATCAATTCTCATGGGCAAATGTGGCGTTGTCAGAGCTGCCTCCAGGCCCCAGCTCACAGAGGACCAACGCTAGCCGGTAGTAATGTACAAAAGTCTTTATTGAAGTACAGTTTCCATTTTCAAGCCGCAGCGCGCAGCTCTACGTCTTAGAAGCTAGACCAGCGAAGCTCCGTCTGAGTCTCCACCCCCTGTACACCAGTTTAAGACTCTAACCTTACTCCACCTCTTCCGTCTCTCCTTTCTCCTCTGGGTCCTTCTGCCCCCCGGGGTCTCCTCCTTCCTGGACTCTTCTGACGCTGACGCTGACCCCCCTGACTCTTGTCCCTCCTTTCTGCGGGCTTTAGGACCTGGCTCCCTAGCCGGGCTACCAACTGCGCCGCCCTCCTGTACATTTGAACTTGGCGCGCGCGCCCAGCCTCCAACCTTCCTCTTGACCGTTTCCTCGCTCTCCGATGGAGGCGTGGCCAATCCTGACTCATCTCCTCCCGCTGGCGGTGAGCCGCCTGATCCCGATACCTGGGACTCCTCCCCCCTACTGCGCTCTGGTGGGGAAGCTGGTCCTGATTTCCAACTGCTGCTCTCTGAGTCCCCTCTGGCCCCTTCTTCCTGGGGTGTCCCCCTAGGCACCCCCCTTGCTCTGACCATGGGAGCCCCTTTCTGTGAATCTTCCGATTCGCTGGAAAGACTCCGAGACCTCGGGCCGCTGTCATCGCTAACATTTCCTTCGGATTCCTCCCCCTCGCTCTCTATTTCCTCCCTTTCCTGTGCCTCTGCTCCTGAGCCCCTGACAGGCGTTAAGGAAAAATATTAGGAAGTAGTGTGTGTGTGTTTATACACACATGTGCATCAGTGCAGATGAAGCTTAAGTAGGCAAGTCTTCTCTTCTGCATGCACAAACACTGCGGTAATAACCAGGGACCATTATTTGGTGCTTGTACCCCCAAGCAACACTTTATCCACAACAGTTGTTTGAGACAGGGTAAAATACCTTATCTAGGGGTGGAAGCTCGATCCAAGCGAAAAGCCTCCTTGTGGTTCCTTCAGTTTCAGCAGACGCTGCCCCCAGGTTCTCAAGTTATACTTTGAAACGAAAACACCTTTAAAAATGTTTGTGGGATGGCAACTTGTGTGGCGTATAGGAAAGCCTACAAAAGACACACAGCGCTGCCTACAAATTTATCTGACATCCAGAATCAGGTTACTAGCTTGATTCCAAATATCCTTTTGCCATTCCAGTCCATTTTTGCCCCTCAGTCGAACCTGATTTGGGCTCACAAGGCAGGTCAGCATGTTTTGTTACTACAGTACCTCATTTATTGGTTTTGCATTTTCATTCTTTAGGAGAGGCAGTTGACGGGTTTTCAGCCTCAGGTGCCAAAATATTCAGTACATTGACACCACTGGCTGCTCTACTTCAAGCAGAAAAATGTTTTGGAATGATCCTGCTAAGGGACTTCTCTGTTATCTCCCATTAACATCAGAACAGACATCAAGGAAAACTCCCAAATCTGGGCAATCCCATTGTGCTCTTTGCCTGTTAATAGGATTTGGCTTTACCTGACAGAGGAAAGGGTCAGGAAGAATGGCTTCTTCTATCAACTCCCTTCTTTTTAACAAGAGTCAGAAGTGCAGAGATGCAAATGAATGAAGCTCGGCTCTTTTACACTTCAAAGACACTCGGCCTATTTTAACAAAGGAGGATCTGCTCAAATGATGCTGATGGTGTTACAGACCTGCCTGTGAAGTCTGCAGCAAGAAACACAAAAAGCTATTTTCAATTAAGCAGTTTTGCACTTCTTTCCTGCACTTGGAAAGTAGAACCTTCCTTGGCTACAATGGCTGTTTGGCTTATTTTGCACTGCCCTACACAAACAATGAGAGGTCAAAAGCTCTGCCATGTGAGAAAAATACTCAAAAGTGTGCTGTGTTGAGTTTATCTTCAGATGAGATGTGTGTTCTGGTGATTTGCTTATTAGACAGGGTGAGGTGGTGGACTGCTGGTTTCAGAGTGTACTACCACATCTGGCTGAACATGTTTTTGAATGTTCCTTGTTTAAAGTACTACCTGCAAGTAGCAACCTAGCACTTTAGGCAGGAAGAATTCGCATTAGTGCTACCTCTAGGTGTGCTCGTTTACTTTTTAAAAGATGTTTTTTAAAACTCAAGGGGTATTTAAAAACATGGCACCCACATGCACTCTGGTAGACGCCCCTTATAAGATGTTAAAGGTAAAGGTACCCCTGCCCGTACGGGCCAGTCGACAGACTCTAGGGTTGTGCGCCCATCTCACTCTAGAGGCCGGGGGCCAGCGCTGTCCGAGGACACATCCGGGTCACGTGGCCAGTGTGACGAAGCTGCATCTGGCGAGCCAGAGCCGCAAACGGAAACGCCATTTACCTTCCCGCTAGTAAGCGGTCCCTATTTATCTACTTGCACCCGGGGGTGCTTTCGAACTGCTAGGTTGGCAGGCGCTGGGACCGAACGACAGGAGCGCACCCCGCCGCGGGGATTCGAACCGCCGACCTTTCGATCGGCAAGCCCTAGGTGCTGAGGCTTTTACTCACAGCGCCACCCGCATCCCATAAGATGTTACAGAGAGGCAAAATGGGGGCTGGGGAAGGCGTGGTGTACTGTCCACTGACTTCACCTCAGGCAACATGATGCCTCTTTCTGTAATGTTGTAGAGAGCACCTGCATTAAAGGATTAATGTGTGGGTCTTCCCATCTTCCTTTTGGCTCTAGGAAGAAACAAAATGGCACCCTGTAGTCTTCTTCATTATCTTTGTTTTCTTTGGGACCAAACTAGATAGGTGGGGAAACCGTGCGTATGTTGAACATGTGTTTGTGCTGTTGACATAGAAAGGCGGAGGAAATTCAGAGCAGGAAAATCAGAAATACTCCTTACACCAGCATTGGGTGGGGGAGGGAGCCCACCTCTGTAGCCTTAATTCGTTTCCCACCTGCCTGGGTCCCTTCAGGTGTCAGGAGCTGGCTGAGAGGAAACTGCTTAGAACAGAGGAAAGGAAAAGAATGGGGGGGGGGGAGACTGTGCTTCCATTTTGTGTTGAAGCGTAGCCCCCACCCTCACCTGCGTCCAGCCCAAAACATTTCGCCACCTGAGGCAGAGCAGCAACCAGTGCGCCTCCCCTAATGTCAGAAGGTGTCTAGTGCCAAGTCTGACCAAGTTGCTTTGTCACCAGAGGCAGAAAAGCCCACAAGCTCCTCTCCCTGGGGGTTAAAATTCAACAATTAAATTAAAGAGTTGACCATTTGCTACCCTTTTATGACATTCAAATTTAGCTGCCTGAGGCAGACGCCCCTCACCCCTTGCTTTACATGTGAATGGGCCCAGGCAGAATACATGTGATGGGATTGTGGCATCTACAGTGGCATTTGCTAGCTTCATAATTTTAGGCTTTGGTTCCTCCTGTGTGGCATCCGGGAGAAACAAGATTCACATCAGGATATGATGTTTTGGATAGAACAGCAAAAAAGGAAAGGAAGGGATGGTGATGCCCAACCCTGTAACCCTAGGGTTGCCATATGTCTGGGATTTCCTGGACATGTCCTCTTTTGGGGGGCCAACATGCCCATTGGCAGATTTTTACATTTAACAGGAAATGTCTGGGTTTGGGGTTTTGTTTTGTTTTTGGGGGGGACACATGCATGCTCTGGAGGGCGACGCTGACCTGCTGTGCCCTGGAAGCAGAAGTGCCGTGTGAAGCCAGAGGAGAGCGTATGGGAGGTCTGCAGCAACTGCCCTCTGGAACAAGGCCTTCTGCAGTGAAGATCAGGTAGGAGCTGGGATCCTGCCTCTGCCTTCAGCCTGTTAGTAGTGTTGCTGCCACCAAGCTCACACACCTCTTTCCCAGACACAGGCTGGCAGTGGCCACTTCAGTTTCCAGAGAGTGGTGTGCAAGTTCTGCCACATACAATGGAACTTCACAGAAGACATAATTTAAGTCACCCTGAAATAAGATATTTGAGTCCTCAAATAATTTACCCATGTATGGGCATAGAAAATAGTTAAGTCTAGCTGAAAGGCAACACATGGAGATCTGCATCCATCATCACAATGCAACCCTATTGTTTTATAGCAGTGTTTCCCAAACTTAGGTGTCCAGCTGTTTTTGGACCACAGTTCCCATGTTTCCAGACCACTGGCCCTGCTAGCTAGGGATGATGGGAGTTGTAGTCCCAAAACAGCTGGAGACCCAAGTTTGGGAACACACTGTTGTATAGTATAATTATGAGGTCATTGCATTAGCTTAGAAGGGGGCACTGATGTTGAGGAGGCACAGCTATGACTGTTATGAAGGGAGCCTGCACTTCTGAATCTGCCACTTTGCTACTGGGAGGCAGCTTGTATATGCATGCATTTTTACATTGGTGTGCAGTAGCAGAGTCGGGTGGGATGGATGCACTTACCTGACTTCCTAGTAGTGGCTTTGCAGCTGCTTCTTCCAGGAAGGGAGAGTGGGAGGGGAAAGGCAGTGTGTGAAGGTTGGTGCTGTGCAAAGGAACTGGCAGGAGTGCCGCATTAGCCTCAGTGCAGACACAGTGTCCACCTCCCCACCACCTTGTCCTTCCCACACACTCTAGCCTTTCTAGAACTTCACCCAGTTACATCTATCATGATTAATAAAGTCAAGAACCAGCATCAGGTTCTGCCGCCGCCCCCCCCCCCCGCTCATTCACCTCCACCCTGTGCACACTGGGGATCTTGGTTGTTTAAACCAGACTTTCCCATTTTCTCTGAAATGAGGAACTGTGATTGAATGTCAGTTTACAAAGCAGGATATTATATATAATCATCATATGGGGTGAGGGAGAACATTGAGTCAGGAAAATCCCCACCTGCTGTCCGATGTGTACAGTCCAGGAACAGCTATACCTCAACTGTGTGCATGAACTACACCTTGTAGTGAAAAACAAAGCATGGGAACCATGTGGTATGGAAAGAGGACCGCAAAAACCATTCAAGGTCCCAGATACCAGCATTGCATGTTTTGAAGCAAGGATCTGGTTTGTAACAGAGAGGCCAACACAAAGATGGGGAAATATTTCAAATTCCCATGGACCCATATCAAGTGTTTATAGACACAGGGGATATTCCCCACAGTTCTGTGCTGTGAATAATATGCATTTGGTGGTGAGAAGGGGATATGAGGACACCACCATCACTACTGCATCTGGATGAACTGTGTCCACCTGTGCTGGTATGTGGCTTGCATAGAACAAGCATGCTGAATTGAGTTCAACCCCCTCATCAGTACCAGCATGGAGATGGGAGTCTGCATTCACTTGTAGCTTTGTAGATACGGATGTGGGCAGGTAGGCCTTCTCCAGCATTTCAATGCATGCATTTGAAGAGGGGATTCTAAGCCAGTGAGAGTGCATTTCAACGCTTCTGGTTTAAATTGATTTAACTCCCTTTTCCAATGGAATGTCAGGGCCCAAGAATCCACAGCATCTCACCAAACTACAGTTCCTGTGGTCCTTTGGGCGGGGGGACTAACTAAGGAGGTGAATAGGCTGGCAGTGCCGCTGACTGGGACAGGGAGTGAAATTAGCTCAGGAGCACCTCAGTCTTCTCATTGCTTCCTTGAACCCACCTCCACCCTTTGGGCTCCATTTCTGCCCCCTCCATCCCCTCGACATCACTCCTGCTTGATGCCAACTGCTGCCGCCACCATGGCCATGCCCCGCATTCGCTTTCCTTGGTGGGTCTTGACATGCTTTGCTAGGTGGTCGCTCCGCATAAACCTCTTGGGGCACAGCTGGCAGCCGAAGCGCTTCTCGCCCGTGTGCGTCCGAAGGTGCCTTTGCAGCTCATCCGAGCGGGTGAAGCTTTTCCCACAGTAGAGCCAGGAGCAGATGAAGGGGCGTTCGCCCGCGTGCCAGCGGAGGTGGGCCTTCAGGTGGGACGTTTTGCCATAGACCTTGCCACAGCCTGGCAGGTGGCAGATGTGTTGCTTCTTTCTGCCTGGCTCCTCGCTGGCTCCATTCACTGCCTGGCAGTTGGGGCACTTGCAGCGGCGGCAGCGGCGAGTGGTACCCAGGAGCCCCTTGGGAGTGCCCTGCAGGAGAGCAGCAAGAGGGGGCTGGGGGCTTAGGACCAGCGGCCGGCCCAGAGAGAAGTTGCCTGGTTGCTGCAGGCTCCACCAGGGGCCATCATCGGTGGAGGTGGTTCCTGGAGGAGGAGCTGGGCCCAAAGGCCGGGGCCCTTGCAAAAAGCTAGAGAAGTCCTGGGCCTCTGGGAAGGCATAAGAGTGTGGCATGGTGGGTGCCAGCATCTTGACAGGCGACAGCTCAAAGGAGTAGGTGGGCTCAGCTGGCGGAGTCAGGGGCAGTTCATGGGCAGCGCCACTGCTCGCTGGCCCTTGCCCGTGGTAGGGAACCTTGGGCAGCCCAAAAGCCATGGTTGTGTGTGAGCCTGATGGGACCTCATTGCTCCAGAGTTGGAACATCCCCACAGATTCATAAGCTCCTGAACTGCTTGCTGATAAATGGGGAGCAGTGGGCACTGCTGCAAAAGTCAAGCTGGGGTGGCAGGCAGTAGCGTCCTCTGGAGGGGAGTTGCAGGTCCAGTCCTGAAGCAGAGAGAAGGAAAAAGGACTGAGCAACAACACTGATTTCAATAATCCCTAATTCCTAAAACATAATCGTTCTGGGCCCGAAACCCTGCTCAAGTAGACTACCTCATCTCCCATAAATGTCTCTTTGTTCCTGTTAGAAGTGTCTACATGGCTAGCAATACAGCAGGGATGGGGAACAAAGAACCAGCCATGTTGGCTGGAACTGGTGGGAGTTGGATTGCAAGGACATCTGTATGGAATCAGGTTCCCCATTCCAGCACTACAATTGGTAACTGCATTCACACACACACACAGAGAGAGAGATCTCCACTGCTTCAGGAGTGCTATGTGACATTGAGCTTGCATTAGCTGTCAGAAGAAAGGAGTTGTCAAGCTCCAGGCTTTGTTCAGCAGCTGCTACAACAGGAACTGTGACTGGGCATTCATTCCTGACCCTCACCTGCCCATATGGGGCAAAGCAGATACTGAACAGATGCACCACGAAGGCAGGGCACCTGGGAATATTCTAAGAACATAATACAGATGCTCGTGTACCACAGGTGGCAGGGGACTGGTTTCAGAAGTGCAACCAGTTCATAAGTGTGCTATTCACTTTTGGTACTGGCTCTCGTACAGGAATATGTCTACAAACAAAAGCTATTCTAGAGTAGTACCTTTCCTTAGGATCAGCCAAAAATGTTACCAAATAAATGAACAAGCTTTCGAGTTCTCCCAAACTCTTCTTCAGGCTGGATGCCAATCAAACAAACAAAATAGAGAAGAAGTACAGCATCGATAAAATGCTTTGGCTGTCTTACAAAAAGAAAAAAAGAAAAACCCACAGAAAAAATCAATTGCACACACACAAAAATACAAAATATAACAAAACAAAAAACATAAGGAAAGCTTCCTAGCAGAGCTTGGAAGAAAATGATGACCACAGAACTTCTCCTGTGTGCTATAATAATAATGTCACAGGCTGCACTCTTTGGAGTTTTAACACAATGCCCTACCCTCCCTCCCTCCCTCCCTCCCTGCCCCCACCAATTTTGGCTAATATCCAGTCTGAATATTGGAGAACTCCAAATGTTTCTGATGACTTTTTGGTATTTTGACCCGACCTTATAAAGGTATTACCCTACAGTAGATTTGGGATTTTTGCTCCTGGACCAACACAGCTATCTACAATTTTTGTATTTTTACAACTAGTATTTCTGATTATTACCAGAATGTTACTTCCAGCGGATTCTTACAACTGTGTTTCAGGTTAAATTTTCCTAACTCCACAGACATTCCTCCCTGCAAGTTTATATGGGAACAAAGGGTTACTATTTCACTTGCACTATCTGGAGCCAGAATAATCTTCCCAGCTCCTTCCTCTCCTAAACAGAAGCATATGAAGCCGCCTTGTGCACAGTCAGTCCCTTGGTCTATTGAGCTCAGTGCTGCCTACACGGACTGGCAGTGGCTCGCCAGGGTTTTGGCCAGGAGTCTTTGTGTTTGAAAAGATATTTATTAAGATTTTACAGAATGAAAAAAGAAAAAAAGAAAAATACAGAATAAAAATAGTTAAAAAACAATTCCATCTTTCCATCACTTATTTTTCATTTGCTTGTTTCCCAGACCTCCTCACACCTCCCTTTTTTGTATTCCAATTCAATTTATTAGTTCAGCAAATCCTTTCCCTCTTTGTTTATCCTAGTCTTTAATCTTAAAATATTATAACATTAAATTTTTACCTGTTAATAATCCATTTTTTCATATTCCTTATAGCGTTATAGCTAAAAACCACTTAACTTTTTATCCAACATCATTCTAACATTCATTAATTTTACAATATTTCTGTAGATAGTCTTTAAATTTCTTCCAATCTTCTTCCACCGACTCTTCTCCCTGGTCTCGGATTCTGCCGGTCATTTCTGCCAGTTCCATATAATCCATCACCTTCATCTGCCATTCTTCCAGGGTGGGTAGATCTAGTGTCTTCCAATACTTTGCAATAAGTATTCTTGCTGCTGTCGTGGCATACATAAAGAAAGTTCTATCCTTTTTTGGCACCAATTGGCCTACGATGCCCAGGAGAAAGGCCTCTGGTTTCTTCAAGAAGGTATATTTAAATACCTTTTTCATTTCATTATATATCATCTCCCAGAAAGCCTTAATCCTTGGGCACGTCCACCAAAGGTGAAAGAATGTACCTTCAGTTTCTTTACATTTCCAACACTTATTATCGGGCAGATGATAGATTTTTGCAAGCTTGACTGGAGTCATGTACCACCTGTATATCATTTTCATAATATTCTCTCTTAAGGCATTACATGCCATAAACTTCATACCAGTGGTCCATAACTGTTCCCAGTCAGCCATCATAATGTTATGTCCAACATCTTGAGCCCACTTAATCATAGCAGATTTCACCGTTTCATCCTGCGTATTCCATTTCAACAGCAAGTTATACATCCTTGACAAAGTCTTAGTTTTGGGATCTAACAGTTCTGTTTCCAATTTTGATTTTTCCACCTGGAATCCAATTTTTTTGTCTCCCACTTGTTCCAAAATTTCCCAATATTTCGGCCATTTGGCCTACATATTGAGTTTTTTCTGAGCCTTCGCTTCCATCGGTGACAACCACCTTGGGGTTTTATTTTCAAGCAAGTCCTTATATCTTATCCAGACATTAAACAGTGCTTTCCTGACAATATGGTTTTTAAATGCTTTATGTGCTTTGACGTTATCATACCACAGATATGCATGCCATCCAAATACATTATTAAAACCTTCCAGATCCAAAATGTCTGTGTTTTCAAGGAGTAGCCATTCTTTCAACCAGCAGAAAGCTGCTGATTCATAATAAAGTTTAAGGTCTGGCAGGGCAAATCCACCTCTTTCCTTTGCGTCCGTTAATATTTTAAATTTTATTCTGGGCTTCTTGCCCTGCCAGACAAATCTAGAAATATCTCTCTGCCACTTCTTGAAACAATCCATTTTGTCCAAAATTTGCAATGTTTGAAACAAAAACAAAAAAAAAAACATTCTTGGCAATACATTCATCTTTATAGCAGCAATACAGCCTACCAATGAAAGCTTCAAATTTGACCAAATTTCTAAATCTTTTTTCACTTCCGTCCAGCATTTTTCATAATTGTCTTTAAATAAATTCCCATTTTTAGCTGTCATATTAATCCCCAGGTATTTCATTTTCTTAACCACTGTTAAACCTGTCACATTCTGAAACCTCTCTCTTTCAATCGCTGTTAAGTTTTTCTCTAAAACCTTTGTTTTTAGTTTATTCAATTTAAATCCTGCAACCTGGCCAAAATCTTGAATCAGTTCCAAAACTCTTTTGGTACTAGATTCTGGCTCCTGTAATGTCAGTACTAGATCGTCTGCAAATGCTCTCAATTTATACTGTTTAGCTCCGACTTGTACACCTTTAACCAACTGGTCCCTTCTAATCATATTCAGCAAAACCTCCAGGACTGATATAAAAAGCAATGGGGAAATTGGGCAACCTTGTCGTGTTCCTTTTTCTATCTTAAATTCCTCCGTAACCTCGTTATTAACAATTAACTTAGCCTTTTGTTCAGAGTAAATTGCACTTATACCATTTCCAAATCCTTCTCCCACCCCCATCCCCTGTAGGTTTTTCTTCATAAAACTCCAAGAAATGTTGTCAAAAGCTTTCTCCGCGTCCACAAATATCAAAACTGCCTTAGTATTAATATTCACTTCTAGCTTTTCCAAAATGTTGATTATAGTCCTCAAATTGTCAGACATATGTCTACCCGGAAGAAAGCCTGCTTGGTCTTTTGGAGTCTTTTCCCAGCCACACCTGGAGACAGAACCTGGAACTTTTTGCATGCAAGGCAGGTTCTCCACCTCTAAATTACCCTTTCTGTTAAAAAGTAAATTAGCCACAAAGCAGAGAGATGAGCAGATATAAATGAGGGAGAGGAAAATGTGGCTTCTGTTTCCCTCTGTGTTTTTGGAAGCTTTCAAATTTCCAAACTGGCTATGCTCAAACTACCTTTCATGCTGTGGGGGATTCAAGGCTGGTCGAAGACATTTTGCTTCCTGAGGTGAAACAGCAAATGTCGCCCGTCTCCCAACATCCAAAAGTCAAGACACATAGTACCCAAGGCCAGTCACGTTAGTCTGGCACCAGAGACTGACCCCCCCATCTCTCCCCTCCCCCTCCCCCCCGGTGGCAGTAAAAATACATAAATAAATTAAATAACTATTGATTTGTTGTTCTTTCATTTTCCCCAAATCTTGCCCAAATTCAGCAAGCTAGACAGTGCTAGCCCAAGACAGTTTTCTACCTGAAGTGGCACCAAATGACCCCTCCCACCTCTCTGTACCAGGGCCAACACTTTTTGAAGTCTTGCTGCCCACATCCAGGCACCAATTCCTGCTGCTCATCTCCCACCACTGCATGGGGGTTACAGATTTCTATTAGAAGGTGCTGGTGACACTGCTAAATGGCACAACCCCCTTTACCCATGTGAACTATATAATTTTGTGAACTCTTTCCATGTTTTGATACATACAAATGCATTTTTAAAAAATAAAAGACAAAACTGTTCTCTGCTCTATCCACTGGAGTACAGGAGTCCCCGGGAAATACAGCAAACATGGCATTTCTAAAATAATATCCCGCAATTCTGTGAACTTTTTGCATTTTGGAGAGGTTTTTGTTTTTAAATTTTTATGTGATTCCCCCTCCCTCTAACAAGTTTACAGCTGTCCGGATTCATTTTCCAAAAGAGTGATGGACACGATCCCTTAGTGCAGCATGGCTATACCATTCCCAGTCCCCCATAGATTAGGTATGGGTTGCATACTTCTCTATTACCTCTGAATGTGGGACAGCCCTGCAAATCCAGAAAGGCTGGACTTTCTTAAAGCATATTTTGGCTAATCACCCAAAGAAGACCTAGATCTCTCTCTTTAAAAAAACTGGTTTGGGGAGAAGCACTACCCACTCATAAGGAGCCAAAAGCAGTATTTTGTCCATATGATAACCAAAGGGCTTGTGTCCATGACTGAGTTTATTTCATGTGTGCAAAAAAATGTTAAGATGCTTTCACACACATACAAAAGCCCCACTGTAACAACAGCAAACTGTCCATTTTTCAAAATTGTGTTTTTTGTCAACATGAGGGATCAGAGCAGCCAGCTGGTTTTTCTACACTGGGCACCAAAAGAGGAGACTGAGAGGAGGTATGATAGCCATCTTCAAATATCTCAAGGTCACATGGAAGATCATAGAATCGTAGAATTGGAAGGGACCTCAAGGGTCATCTAGTCCAACCCCCTGCAAAGCAGGAATCTCAGATAAAGCATCCAGGACACATGGCCATCCAACCCTTGCTTAAAAGCCTTCAAAGAAGGAGAGTCCACAACCTGCCAAGGGAGACCGTTCCACTGTCAAACAGCTCTTACCTTCAGAAAGTTCTTCCTGATGTTTAGTCAGAATCTCCTTCCTTGTAACTTGAATCCATTGGTTCAAGTCCTACCATCCAGAGCAGGAGAAAACAAGCTTGCTCCATTTTCGTTTAGATAGCCCTTGAGATATTTGAGGATGGCTATCATATCTCCTCTCAGTCTGCTTTTCCCCCAGGCTAAACATACCCAGCTCCTTCAACCTTTCCTCATCAGGCTTGGTTTCCAGACCCTTGATCATCTGGGTTGCCCTCCTCTGCACACGTCCCAGCTTGTGCACATGTTTCAACCTCCTTCTTAAATTGTGTTGCTCAGAACTGGACACAGTATTTCAGGTGTGGTCTGACCAAGGCAGAATCGAGTGGCACTATTACTTTCCTTGATCTGGACACTATACTTCTGTTGATGAAGCCTAGAATAGCATTAGCCTTTTTTGCTGCTGCATCACACTGTTGGCTCATGCTAAGATGGAGCAAGCTTGTTTTCTCCTACACTGGAGGGTAGGACCCAAACCAATGGCTTTCAGTTACAAGAAAGGAGATTCCAACGAAACAACAGGAATAACTTTCTGACCGTAAGAGCTGTTCGACAGCAGAACAGACTCTCTCAGGAGGCGGCGGAGTCTCCTTCCTTGGAGGGTTTTAAGCAAGAGGTTGGGCGGGCATTTGTCATTTGAGATTCCTGCATTGCAGGGGGCTGGACTAGATGACTCCCAGGGTCACTTCCAACTCTAGAATTCTACGATTCTATGATCTTGATTGAGCCTTATTTAGAAGGGACTTACAGTAGAGACCCTGAGGACAACTACAAAGTATTTAACATAGATACCTCCTTCCTCCTTTTTGTTTCTTATCCCTCAGATCTGCAAGGAGATAGTTAAGTATTCACTGCCCATCATCAGCCTCATGTTAGAACATCAGCAAAATCCTTTCCCTGTGGAACTGCTGTTCTTTAGTTAGCACAGGAATAATCATCTGCCAGAAGGTTGAGATAATATGCACAAAAGAACTCCCTGTGCAGGAAAAAACCAACAATCCATTCTACTGGTCAGCTAGGTGCTCCTGAAAAATTAATGCCCAGGGCAAGCGAGAGACAGGGGTCGCCAAAGTGGTGCCCTCCAGCTGTTTGAAGGGCCACACGATACCCACCCTTCCCCTGTTGCTTGTCCCAGATATCTGACAATTGCAGGCACACCCTGAATACAATATTAATGCTACAATTCCTAATGCACACTTACTATGAAGTAAGCTTCACTGAAGGAGACTTATTTCTGAGGGAACTCCAGGAGGGAATATTAACTGGGTTACTTTGCAGTTGTGGGGAAGATGCCCACTCATTGTTCTGGAAGCTGATTGAGGAAACATGTATCTTTTCAAATGTTTAGGTGGAGTGTGTCTCACATCTTAATCTGGTGGGGGGGACCTTTTCCGTAGCGCTGGTATCCAAAGTTTGATATAGAATGGCACAGAACTTGGATCTGTCTTGGCAGGGATTCAAAGACTCTGATGCAAAAAGACATTATCAGTCATGTAAGAAGTGAATATACCCAATTATTACTATTGAGCCTAACAAAGGAGCTTATCCCTAGAAGGCAGGCAGATTTTAATACTGAGCCGAACAGCAGCAGGCAGAGTTGCAGCAACCAAGTCAGAAATTAATAAACAACTGTCAGTGTATGTGGATTGAGTCCCAGTTTTCCTGGGAGTAAGTCCCAATGGAGGGATTTTTCCTGAACAAATGCATATTGGAAATTGGGCTTCCTTCCTGTGTATACATGTATAGGATTGTGCTGTAGGACTGCAGTTGTAAATAAACTTACATTTTCAGTTTGGAAGTGGAAAGTGTTCCATGCCTCTAGTGTCAAAGCTGCTTCTAGCAGCTCTCAGAAAACAGAATGTATCTCCCAGAAACAACATTTATTCATTTAAAGGTGGTACCACCCTCTCAAAAATAAGTTAAAGGCTACTTCCCTGAGCAGACACCCCCCCAAAACCCCAGAAACTTGTTTTCTTATTAGGTACATCCATTATACTGGGCTGCATGGCACCAGCAAGTTCCTTCTGCAAAGAATGCATCCGGCGGCTTTTTGAGACAAACATTATATTTTGATCTCAGTCCCCATCTCCAATATGGAGGTAATATAATGATATTAGTATAATAATTAATATACGTAATAATGCCTTACAGGCCTATTGTCAAGATAACTGAGATAATGCATTTAAGAAGTGTGAAATAAATTATTATTATTATTATTATTATTATTATTATTATTAATCATAATAATAATAATAGACCTTTAGCTGCACACAGTTTAATGAGCTTGATCCAAGCATGAAAAAAATGACTGTCCACCCTCACAGGAACATAAAAAGGTCTTTCTCAGGCTATTTGCCCATCTAGCCTAGTATTTTCTCCCCTAGCTTGGTGTCCTCCCATCACCTCTGACCATTGACTGTGCTGTCTGCGATTGATGGGAGCTGAAGTCCCAGCAACATCTGGAGAGTGCCAGGTTGGGGAAGGCTGGTCTACTCCTGCGTACTCTTGACTGGCAGCAACTCTCCATCACTTACTATCAAATCCTTGCTACCAGGACTTTCTGCAGGCAAAGCAGAAAGCAGATCATGGTACTAAGCTACGTGTGATAATAAAATTATCGAGAGACACCTTGTTTTCTTTTGTCTACTGTAGAGATTGTGTATAAACAGTTCATACCGTTCTGACCTCACAAAAGAAAACAGATAAAGCAGTATCTGCTTTAGAACATTTTTAAAAATAAATGCAAATATTGGGACACAATATTTATGATACATCATAATAAATAGGAATGGTTTTGATTATCATCTGTCCAAAGATTGCTATATTGGGTCCCAAATTGAGCAAATATTTTAAAATGTTGCCTGAATTCAAGACATTATTTTCCTACCTTTAAACTAAACATTATACATCAAATTTAACCATTTTAATTTCTAGGTTTTTGATAACCACTCACACATAGTAGGGAGGCTTGCACTTTGCAATTCTTGTGGAACCAAGATCCTAAATGAAACCACAAAAGTAAAAACCAACTTTACTGGTGGTCTGCTATCCTGTCCTTCCAAATATCCCAACAAAATCACTGCAGATTCCAAAGGTAAAGTATCCCCCTGTTTGTTTTGTCTAAATCCTCAGTTGCCTCACCCCAGAACCAGTGTATTTTGATGTAAGATAGGCACACATTTCTGAATCTACATTTATCCTTCAGAGTGATTGACAGGCTATTCCTTGAAATGGGAATGTGGTTTTGGTGTGAGAAGCCTAGGATCAGGAGAAGTTTAAGTGATTTCGAAAGCAAGAGTCCTTGAGGTTAAATGCATGGCGGATCCTGCAGTAGGGTCTGACTAGATGCTTTTCAGATCCCTTGCAGCCCTGGGAGTTTTGATTCCACAGGTTCCAGGAATGAGCCACCTTGCCATTCTGCATAGCAAAGAGTTCTGTGCAATTCCAAAGTTTACACACCAATAATAAACAAATAAACCTACCACCTCCCCTGTTTTGAAATTAAGAGAATGCCAAATCAGAGCTATACCAGTCTTGACCAATAAGATTACAGTTGTTATTTAGTTTGTTTCTGCTCCCCCCGCCCACATGCTCCTTGTTATGTTCCTTTGAGCGTCCCAACATTATCATAATCGGAGAGCCACAAGTATTTTAATCACAACAAACCTTCTGTACCTCTTCCATACTAAAATCTCTTTATTTTATTGCCACTCTTGAGAGTGCAGTCCTCTGTACACTTTCTTGAGAGTAAGTTTCACTGATCTTAATGGAATTTATTTCTGAAGAGGCACGGCTAGGGTTGCCCTGTAAACCGACGACTGCGATTTCTCCTCCCACTCCTAGCTGATTCCGCTTGTGCTCTTTCACAACTGCTTGTCAGGCAGAAAAATCAACAGGTGAAGCTTTCCCCACTGCTTCACCTTTGTGCAGAGAGCATCCTCACCGGTTGGATTCCTGCACGCAGTCAATCAGCCAACCAATGCGGCTACTCTTCCCGCCCCCTCGCCGACTCTCCTTACCTGCAAGGAGGAGTGTGTGATGTCCGAGTTCTGCAAAGACAGTTTCCATCAGGGGTCACCCGAAACTATCCATGGAGGGAGCGCGTGGTCTTCCGACAGAGGTGGGAAAACAGCCCGCTTCTTCCTCTCTCTGAAATTCCTCTTTTCCTCCTCAGTCTACATCTTTTTCCTCCTGTGATCCTACTCCAATCCCCTGCCTCCCCCTCTTTCCTTTCCTTTCCTTTTTGTTTTTTTGGCTTCCCTTCAGCCTATCAGGAGTGGCGATTGGAGGCGCCTTTGAAGTCGGGGAGCGAACCAATCATTAAAATAGATTGAATGATTTCAAAGAGGGGCCTGGCTAGATCTCCTTTAAGTGCCGGGCTCCCCCGCTGGGGGGCTTGTTATGGATGCAAAAGGGGTTGATTGGGCTGGTGCGATCAAGATAGCGGAGCTTTCTCTTTTTCTCTCTTTAAAGGTGCAGGGCAAGGGGAGCGGGGCGGGGAGGAGAGAAGGGACAAACCAGAGGCAGGTACGCGATTCCTAAATGCAACCACTTATGCATTCGGTACAGCGCGGCTTGCGCATGTTATGGCGGCCCATGTGCCCATCTCTGTGGAAATCAGCACAGGGGTGCCCCCAGGGCAGGACTGAGGAGCAGAAGTCCAGGGCCCCCAAACTGCAGCAGCGCTGCCCTTGGCACATTTGTAAAGCAAGTGAAGTCAACATGTACAGAGGCGGATTTAGGGGAGCACGAAGGGTTTGGTCGCACTGAGTGCACAGGGGAGGCTCCAACTGTGATTTAGAACAGAGTGCGAAAGGCGGAGGGGTGCTTAATTTTGGCGTGGCACAGGGTGCCGCTGGAAATTTGAGAGCCCAAGATCCGCCACTGAATACGCAATACCATTCGAAGTGTGGAAGCTAATATCATTAAGCCCAGAGTCCCAAATTGCCCAACAGGAGCAATGAGTGAAGAAGTGGAATTGGGAAAGATCTGGTTAGCTCTGCTGGGGCCATGCCTGCTCTCCAAGAGTTGAGGGGCCCTGTTTGTACCAGCCCTATGTGTGCATGCGCTTAAACATGGTTGACTCCTGCATATACAGTCCATGCCCTCCACAAATGAGGACATATTTGGATGTACACACAAAGACTTTAGGCATATGGCACCCTTGAATGCAGGAGGGCAGGGCTGTTGAGAGTTAACTTACCATGAATACATTTCTCCACAGAGGAACCCATGAACACATCACATCCCCAATGGGTGAATGCAAAGAGGGGTGGTGAGGGTTTAATGGTAGGCCTCAAATCTTCAGACATCTCCTCCAGTTCATCAGCCAATACAGTGGTACCTCGAGTTACACATGCTTCAGGTTACATATGCTTCAGGTTACAGACTCTGCTAACCCAGAAATAGTACCTCAGGTTAAGAACTTTGCCTCAGAATGAGAACAGAAATCGTGCTCCAGCGGCACAGCAGCAGCAGGAGACCCCATTAGCTAAAGTGGTGCTTCAGGTTAAGAACAGTTTCAGGTTAAGAACAGACCTCTGGAACGAATTAAGTACTTAACCCGAGGTACCACTGTAGTCACTGAAACTCTCCATTGAAACTGGTCAAGGAAATGCTTTGGACAACTTATCCAGACCAGCATCAACTGTCTGGCATTGGCCGTAGCGTTAGCTAGAGCAGGGGTGCCCAAACTTTTTTCAAAGAGGGCCAGATTTTATGAAGTGAACATGCGTGACCAAAACATGCCAGCCAAAGCTTTTTTTAGGACTGAAGTTGTTGACCTTTTCTTAGGATTTGACCCCAATAAATAAACTGCCACGGGGCCGGATTAGGCCCCCAAAACGGACTTTGGACATGCCTGAGCTAGAGTGAGGCAGTGGCCTCAGGTGGTTGATTTGGGATTTCGTGAAAGGACAGCAAACTCTTATAATTTGCTATGGTTATACTTTTAGTCCCAGAGAGGAAGAGTCACATTTGTGGGTTTTTCCTCAGGTGTCAAAATAATGTGACTGGCCTTGGGTGCTTCTGCACTTTGACTGTGAGAGAAAGAGCAGCAAATATCTAGGGACAGTTCTGGCTACAGTCAGTACCAGGACCCGACCACCCTTGAGGCAAGGTGAGGCAGGAGAATCCACAGAGCAGCAAAACTGGCCTCCAGGGAATGCATTGCTGCTGTTGCAGCAGCAAGCAGCAGCGACAGCTGTGGTGTGCTCCTTTGGGGCCAGATCTGCCACTCCTGTCGCCTCTGCAGTGGTCTCTTGGCCAATAGGAGGCACTGCTGGTCTCCTTCCATCATTGTTCCAGGTGTAGATCTTTATCCTTCCCTTGTTCCTGGTGTAGATCTTCACTCACCCCCTTCTTCTCCGGCAGTGGGGGGATGCCATTTTGTGGCTTGCCTCAGGTGTCAAAATGTCTTGGGCCAGCCCTGGTCAGTACCATAGACCACAGGTTTAGTATCCTGCAACCCTTTTCCACTGAATTTGAGCCAGTCAGTAGTAATGGCCTAAATGTGGGAGGAGCAGGGAAGGTAGCTTTATGTGGTACCCGTCCTCCCTTGCCACTCTTCCATTCCAGCCCTGCAGAATGTGTGGGGTTTTGATAACTCCCATCTGTGGCACTTCCAGGTATTGGAGGTAGACTCCTGCCTAAGGCCCCTGAGAGCCGCTGCCAGCCAGTGTAGATAATACTGAACTGGGTAGTCCAAGGGTCAGACTTTGAATAAGGCAGCTTCCCGTGTTAATAACCCATCTTCAGCCCAAGCCATAAAAACTGGCAGAGGAACTGAAGATGTGCACTGCCCTCTTGATTTCAAGACAGTGGTTCTCAAAGGTGTGGCAGGAGAGGATGGCCACCGTGGCAGGAAAATTCAAGGACAACCAAAGAAACATTTACACATTTCAGTAGAGTACAGTACAGTACAGTACAGTACAGTGGTACCTCGGTTTCAGACGCTTCAGGTTACAGACTCCGCTAACCCAGAAATAGTACCTTGGGCTAAGAACTTTGCTTCAGGATGAGAACAGAAATTCTGCAGTGGTGGTGCAGTGGCGGCAGCGGGAGGCCCTATTAGCTAAAGTGGTGCTTCAGGTTAAGAACAGTTTCAGGTTAAGAACGGACCTCTGGAACGAATTAAGTACTTAACCCAAAGTACCACTATATCTCTCTATCTAGCTCTCTAGCTCTCTCTATATATTTAATATACAACCAAAAACAATATCCCCCCCCTCTTTCCAAGAGCATTGACTATTCTTCTACAGTTCTCCACAATGTATTGGTGTGGACAGGGATATGAAAGATCAGAAAACAAAAAGGCTTCTCTGTGTTGGTGAGGAAATGAGAGTTTGTTTGTCTCAAAATTAGACCTAATATAAATGAGATTACACGGCAAAAACAAGCTCACACCTCTTATTGAGTCTGTATACATACTTCAGGTACATACGTAAGAGGCTCAGTTATAATGGCATAATTACATTCATGTTCTCTGCGCCCTCCAATGATTCATGTTCTTATGTAGCTGCATTGTTTGATACTTTCTGGATGTCTCATGTTCATATTCTAAAGTAGTTGTGATCTGTGCTCTAAATCAAGCAATGTTAGGAGTTGTTTCTTTTTGTTTTCTTATGTCTTATCAAACTTATCAATACAAATTCAGTGTGGCACGAGCAAATTTTTATTTTGAAAGTGTGGCCCAACCGGAAAAAAGTTTGGGAACCGCTGTGTCAAGAGCTGGCATTAGTAGAAGACAGTAGTCTGAAAACAGTTAGCCTCCAGCTGGCTAGGACTGGGAGATTGGGAGGCAAGTGGCCCACACAGACCAAAACCGTAACAAAGACTGGAACAGTTCGGGCCCAGGCACTCTCCAATCCCCATTTCCACTTTTGGAAGAAAGGGGACATAGGGAGTCCAAAGTGTTCAAAATTTAGATTACAAACTTATTAGGACTGCGACTTCTCTTTCCTACTTGCCTTTTCTTGTTTATAGAAACAAAATAAAAAAATTCCTTCCAGTAGCACCTTAGAGACCAACTAAGTTTGTTATTGGTATGAGCTTTAGTGTGCATGCACACTTCTTCAGGTACTTGTTTATGTTACTCTGTAAGGCACCATGTGTAATAATAATAATAATAATAATAATAATAATAATAATAAATGTCTAACAGAAAATTATCAGGTCCCTTACCGAGAAGGAAGCCATGGCAATTAGCTATTTAAGTTTCTAGCACGACTAAGGACTGCCACAGGCAGACTTTTTGCAGATACAGGGTACTTTGGCAAAAGGCAAGGACAAACCTAGACAGCAGCATGCTTGCTCCATGACGTAATACAGAGATGGGGATCCTGTGACTCTCCAGATATTTTTGGACTCCTACTCCCATCGGCCCCAGCCACTGTGACCAAGAATTAGTCAGGGAAGCTGGGAGTTGTAGTCAAACATCTGGCGGGCCACAGGTTCATCACCCCGGTGTAACATCACCTATCCTTCTTTCCCAAGCTTTTCAAACAGTTGCTATTCTTATTGTTTGCTTGTTTTGCTGCTTTGCTTTTCGGTTAAATATCTCTGAAGGGACCTTACCTGAGCTACTGGAGGAGCACATAGCTCTCTGTTCTTCTCTGTGTTGATCTCTCCCTCTCTCAAACCAACAGACCTCTCAACCGAAAAGTATACCTGTATTTTGCCCTTGCCCTATTTAACTTTTTGAGCTTTGACAAAATGTTGGATCCTGTTCTGCCAGTGCCAGTCTTATAAGCCAATTGTTGCTGCACCGCCAGCTATCTTATCTGGGGGCAGCCTGACACAGAGCAGCTTAGGATGGTGCCAGACGGTGTCTGCTGGCTTGAGACAGAGATGGATGGATATCCAGGTGGTGGCATGTTATGGTGGGAGGACAAATAGGTCAGGCAGTGCCTGGTGGGTGGGATGAATTGGCAGAAAGCTCACCTAGGCTTACCAGGGAGAGGAAGCTGTTGGCCATTCCCTTCCCTTTGGTGGTTTATCAGTCTCACCTCCCCAACAGTATTCATGGATGAGATCTCAAAGCATTGAATTAATCAATCTATTGGCTGGGCTCAATCTTAATTGTTAAAATTTAGCAAGCAATGGTGCATTTCTTGATTTTTCTTCGTTTGACTTTGGTGTGGTAACACAGGGAAAGAAAAAACAAAAAGTAAAACTGCCCTTTTTTCCAAACTACATGAATAGTAGCTTTTGCTTATTTAATTGTAAGTTATCTTCCAT